TTCTTTTTTTTTTTTTTTTTTTTTTTTTGCATGGATATAACCAGGCAGTGCCAACAGTCAGTGGCTGAAGGCAAAAAAATAAATAAAATAAATAAATAAAATAAAATAAAATAAAAAAATAACAAGTCAGGCGCAAGAAGAAAAAAAAATTGATGATGATGATGACGATAATGATGTTTATATTTATTTATATTTACAGTTATAGGAAATATGGAGATGATAATAAATTAAAATAAAATAAAATAAAATAAAATAAAAATAAGAGTCTTTTTAAAGCCATATATTTGAAAACACTTCTCCATGATTTTTTAAATTCATATAATTTGCCCTAACCCTTGATTTGTGTCATGTCTAATGTGTATCATTTAATAAATATATTTCAAATTTATATTATTAAAATATCTAAGCTAACAAAAAAAATTTTTTTTTTTTTTTTTCTTTTAGCTTTGTACTTAGTTATTAGTACTGATAGTAGTAACTACTATCAAACCTTATTTTTATTTTTATTTTTATTTTTGAAAAGTATTAGTTATTGCTTTTTTTTTTTTTTTTTTAAATCATTATAACTGGGAAAATACATTTTTCAATTATTAGATACTTTATATAAAAAATAATAATAAAACTATATATATATATATATAAATCTTATTCATATCTATTATTACTGTTGTTGATTAACTGTCAGATTTTTACACCCAACTAAACCAAACTCTTCTTTAAGCTCTTCATCCTCTTAAATAAATTATTATTATTATTATTATTATGAAAGCTATTTAGGTAGTCTATACTTTCTATTTATTTTTTTGTTTCAAATTTTCTTGGTTTGCAAAATCTCCTAGCCACTTCACAAACAACCTTCCTGGTTCTTTTCTCCCTACCCCTAACAAAACCACAATAGTTTTTTTTTTATTATATTTCTAACAAATTAAATTCACAAAGACGCGTCTTGCTTTAAAAATTTAAAAATTTAAAATAAATATAATCAATTTGTTGCGTTTATACGGGTTACCTTTTTTTTTTTTTTTTTTTTTTCTTAAAAAAACAATAAATACGCACCATTAACCCCATCATTCAATAATTTACGCCCAAATTTGATTCTCAATTAGATGAGATTTTTTTTAAGTAGATGAGATTTTTTAACTAGATTGTATTTTTAAGTAGATATGTTTTTTAAGTAGATTGGGGTTTCATGTATATGAGATTTCTAACTTGATAAGTTTCTTAACAAGTTTTATTTTATTTTTATTTTTTACATTCTTGTTCTCTTTTTAATCTCCACTCTTTCTTCTTCCAACTCCTCTTTCCATATAGTTTCAATTTTCCGGCACCCGGGTCACATTTTGGACGTTTTTTTTCTTTCAGATTCTTTTTTTTTTTTTTTTTTTGGTTCTAAAAAATCAGTTAGAATAGAGCAAATTTCGCATCTCTTCAAAGAAGCAATAGAGAAATAAACAGAAAGAAAAACTAGAAAAACTAGCAGAAGGTATTCAAGCTAATTCAATCATTGCTTTATATACCTTCTTTTGTTTAGGATTTTTTTTTGTTACCATCAATCCTTATTATTATTCTCTCACTTCTTGAAAAGACCCCAGGAAGCACGACGTGGACGCTTGCTCAAGTTACTTCCCATTACTAAACTTTTGAATCATCTTTTAAAGAATCATTTTCAAAAGTCTAAAAATGCCTTTGACAATTTCACTTTTGACTAGAGAGAGGAGCTCAGTCTGGTTTTTCTCTGAGAAGTATGGGCAACTAACTCAAGAGGGGAAGCTAAAAACCAGGCTGTGATTTTGCAATCAAGCTCATGGAATCACAAAAGTGTATGCGTACATATCAAAACACTTGGATCCAAAAAAAAAAAAAAAGACTTATTTTATTGTTATTGTTATTTTTTTTTATTTTAAGAGGATATATATATATAAAAAAAATAAAACAAAAAAGTCTAAGGAAAAAAAAAAAAAAAAAAAAAGATGCCTGTAAACCAAAACCAACCAACTAGAGTTAAATAAAAACCAGAATGAATGAAGAATTGAACAAAGTAGACTACCAGAATAAAAAAAAAAAAACCAGAATGAATAATGATAAAAAAAAAATAGGGGGAAAAAAACCAGGAAAAATTTAAAAATAACCTAAAAGTCTAAAAAAAAAAAGAGATTAAAATTAGTGAGTCCAATAAAATAAATGTTGTTGTTGTTGTTGTTGTTGTTGTTGAAAATTCTGAATCGTAATGTTATTAAAAAGTATTGAGATTTCCATAGTGCTGAAGCAAAGTTGAAGATTGCAATTGTTGATTGAACTTTTGGGTATTTGTTTTCTATATAGTTATAATTATAAGTGTAGTCCGAGAAAAACTCTCTAAGACAACACTGGGGGATCTTTGGCGCTTCCCGGCTAATCCTCAAAATCCCCCCCTCCCCTCTAACCTTCACCCGACAGACTCTGACCATAATTTCACTCCCCAGACCCCCTAACCATGCCCATACCAGCCAGATATAAGAAGAAACCAGAAAAGAAAAGACCAAAAACCAAACCAAACCAAATAAAATCAAAACCACCCTCCACCAAAGATAAAAAAAAAAAAAAAAAAACCAGATAGAAACAGAAATGTCATTTCACCAGGCTGCAGTGATTGTACTCTCTCTAGAACCTTTTTTTTAGGAGAGAATATTGTGTACTGAAAAAAAAAAAATATGTATAGCGACAAACTTGACACAATAAGCTCGACAGAGTGAGGTCTAACTGCGACCTACGCTAAGACTCTGCTCTCCTGCACGCTAAAAAGACCGTCGGTGCGTGGCGCATTCATTTAGTAACAAAAAAAAAAATAACCTAACAACAGAAGCGACTTGTGAGCTCGGGCATTTGCTGAAATAACGTCCTCTTTTTGTTACCATTGGAAAATCTAAAAATATATGTTAAACATCTGAATAAAGTCATGAAAATTTTTTTGTTTTTTGTTTTACTTCCCATTTAAAGTATAGTTGGTGTTGATTGTAAATATGCCATATGGAATCTGTTTCTCAATGTCAGGATCTGCAAAGTTTAACGTATCGCTCAAAACTTACCAAGGAAAAAAAAAAAAAAAGAATGCAGGTTTACGAGTATCGACGGAGGTATTCTAAGCTGGAAAAATCGTTAGTATCCAGTAATCTATGCCTTGCTAAACGTACAAGAAACTTTCTAATGTTGATGAAAACTGGAAAAAAAAAATTGGTGATGGTTAATGGTAAGAAGAACTGAAGAACTGAAGAATTGAAAGGAGTGGATGAATATTATGATTAGCATATTGATCTAAGGAGTAGTTTTTTTTTTTTTCTTCTAAGAAAGAAACAAAACAAAACTTGTTTTATAGATTTTTCAATTGAGTTATTTCCTTTTTTTTTTTTTCTTTCTTTTTTTTTTTTTTTACGAAAAAAATTTACGCCATAATATCTTTTAAACGTGTCTTCGAAACGAAGGTCTTTTGATGAAACAATCAGTGAAAGGAAAAAAAAAAAAAAAAAAAAAAAAAAAATTGAAAGCCGTTGTGATCAGCCGTATTCAGCCTTACACACCTTAAGCCGCAGAATGATTTCACTAAGCTACCCCTCCATACTCAAGACTAAACGATAGATTCTTGTTAAACCTCTCGTCAGATTTCTTCCCTTAATTGTCTTTTTTTTGTTTTTTATTATAGTTACTAACGAATTCATATATATGTTTAACGACCCAAGATACAAGGTTCAAAGACTAACTTCGGCTCAACTGTAACTGCTTGGTTTTATTCAACAACTATATCAATTATTATACCCTCATGCATTAATTTTTTCATTTTTGAATAACTCTAATATTTCACGAGTTTCCTTTTTGCAATTTCTTTTAAACAATTAAAAAACTTAGTTAGACTTTCTTTTTTTTTTTTTTTTTTTTTTTTTTTTTATTATCTTGGTAAATATCTCAATTTGTATACCCAGCATTAACACTGCAGGTTCTTTCTGCAACCAATCAAGAGAAACTTGTGTAACAAAAAGGAAAACAATTAAAGTCTTTGAAAAAGATACCAAAACAAAAGTATACCAGTCTTTATAAAAATAAAAAAAAATATAACTTTAATGCGTCAGCCCGGAGTCGAACCGGGGGCTCGTCGATGGCAACGACGAATTTTACCGCTAAACCACTAACGCCTATTGTGAGTTTAATTTGGAAGACGGAATATATAAACTAAATCTCAGAGTTAAGAATTACCCGGCTTTAAAAATTTTTTTATTTTAAAAATTTCATTTTTTTTATTTCATATCTTTTAATCAAAACAATACCATTTGAACATGTCTAGAAGAGCAAAAAATATGGTCTCTGGCGGGATCGAACCGCCGATCCTCGCGTTTCACAAGGAAGTTGCTTGTTTATTAGCACGATGCCTTAACCAACTGGGCCAAGAGACCTGATATTTATTAAAAAAACAACCTATTCCGGCAACAAATCCAAACCCATATTAAAATTTAATTTTAGACACAATAGATGAAGATCTATTGAGGGGAAAGGGCTGGATGGTGTAAAGGGTAACACGTTTGCTCGATAGCGGAAGATACTGGGTTCGATTCCCAGAATACCCCCTTTCCTGAGGATGTGTACGGGAGTATACACCTAAACTGAAAACCATAGGCTACCCTGGTTACAGGAATGCCGACTCTTCTGTACAGTCTAAATAGCCTGCAGGTGATTGCGGGCCGTATCTCTGGCGGAAGAGATTAAGAAATACATGGGCGTCCGTGAAGATAAGTGGAAATGGGTTGGGAAGGTTTTGGGACCGACAGACTGGTTCTCCCTGTTCCTCGTAAGCTGGCATCAGGGCCCATCTTCCGGGCTACCGGAGACGCACAGAACAGAAACCACCCGTACTAAAAAGGTACAAATGAAAACCGGCAAGTCACATAGTCAGACAATAAAAGGATAGCGCAGATGCTGATGTTATATAGTTCTATAACCCTTGAATAAAAACAAACAAAACAAACATGAAGATCTGTTACGTAGATTTTGTTATTGATATAACAATTTTTCTTTACAACTGTTTAGACTTATTTATGGAATTTTGGGGATGAAAACGTTGAAGTTTAATTAATTGTAAAGCCGGATAGTGATAATAGGAGAAAAATAAAAAAGGCGTTGATGCTTATTTTCTATATCTAAAATAACTCTAGCCGTTAATTTACACAATAAACTTTTTAATCCACTTTAAACTGAAAATTTCAAAACTAAAGTTTGCTTTAAAAATTTTGAAATTTATCATTATTTGATATATTTTTCAAGTTACTATCATAGCAACTTACAGTGATTGTCCTTTGTAACCTTAAGTGACCCAATTTTTATTTTTATTTTACCTTTTTAATTTTTCATGGTCATCTCCACTCCGGTTCATAATGTCATCTGAAAAAGCGCCTCTTGTTATCATCGTGGCCGGTCCTTCGGGCATTGGGAAATCCACTATTGGAACACTTTTAGCCCATGACCTTTCAAGCAATCTTTCTTTATTTTCTGTGCCATTTATTGAAGGCGACAATCTTCATCCTCTCAAGGCAAGTATCACTAAAAAAAAAAATACACAGTCGTAATCATCTTTCTCCGCCACATTCTAACATAGCAATTATAAAAAAAAAGAACATTGAGAAAATGAGCGCTTCCGTACCACTTTCTGATTCTGACAGATGGCCATGGCTAGAATCTGTGGCCACCAAATCGGCTTTGGCAGCAGCTGAAGCACCTGCTAGAATTGCAGTTGCATCTTGTTCAGCACTCAAGCAGTCATATCGCGAGTTTTTAATTTCCCATATGATCAAAGTGGTACCCTTTTGTGCAATGCTCCTTGTTTTTCTTTACCCAGAATCAGAAAGCGATGCTGACCTGGTTGCTTCCCGAATGGAGCAACGCTCGGCTACTACTAACCATTTCATGGCTAGTGATATGATCTCATCACAACTAGCAATCACACAAGTCCCTCATAATGACGAAGGTCTTCTTTCTAAACCTTCTTATCGATGTCTTCCGATTCGCGTAAAAAAAAACCTAACACCTGAAGATGTTGTTGTTCGAATCATTTCTCTAATAAATATGAATTAACTGCTATATAAATTAAAAACTTAATTATGTTATTATTTTTTTTATTTACAAAGCTTTGGCCACATTTTCTAGTTTGTGACTCTCTTTGTACTCATCATCTTGTTCATTTCTCTCTTCATTCTTCTCTAACTTGACTTGTTCAACAGAATTTTCTGCAAAAAGACCAACGTCTTCACGCATTTTTTTTTTGAGCCATCGATCTAATCTCTTAGACCGCGTATCCATCAGAGCTTGATCAATAAGCTTTTCGCATAAAGCCTTGAGCTCAAAAGCACCCTGGCGGTCGGTAAAGTTCATAGGGAACCTATAAGAAAGCCACAGATAAAGAACCAAACAATTATGTGTTGCTTCCAAGGTCTCAATATCTTTATCATTAAAGGGTCCAGTTTTACTAAGAACTTGAATCTGAATGTCAGGAATGTCCAGCACCGTGACAGACCTATTATTGGAAACAACAGAGCATAACCTCTGGAATGCTTGAACGCATTGGGGGATCCGTAGTTTCAGGGGGGCTTTTGCAAAAACAAGTTTCTCATTTAATGTCAACTTTTTCACAGATCGAAACACCTCTGCAGTTAGCACCATGTTATCAACACCACACAGGAAATATGAAGTACCAAGCTCGCTAGCAACGTCCATGCGTCGCAAAACATTGTCAAAAGAATGATCTGAATACAGGGGCAAAGCGTATTGTCGGAACAAATATTCAGATGGGAATAATCCACCTCTTTTAATTTTTGGTGTTTCTGATGCTAAGGCCTTGCGAATACAAGACAAGTCTTTTGAAGAAAAAGCCGTAACACTGCCCACAACATCTTCTTCTTTTTCAATATTGTTCTGGGAAGAAGTGTTTTTAGACGGAGCCACACGGAATCTCCCCGCACGACCTGCAATCTGCTTTATCTGCGATATGGAAATTTCTTTGTTGGTGGTACCATTGAATTTCATAGTAGTCAAAAAAATGATTCGTCGAATACTTAAATTCAAACCCATACCTACGGCGTCTGAAGCAACCAAGTAATTGTATCCGCTGCCCTTTTCATTAAACAACTCAGCCTGGTGCGAACGCGACTCCGGCGGCAAAGCACCATAGATAATGGCACAATAATTCTTGGTCTTTTTTTCTACATTGGCTTTCCAATCCATGAGCTGTCTCTTGGAAAATGCCACAATGCAGTCACCCGGTTGAAGGGATTTAAGATTTTCCTTCATGGGATGCTTTTCGACATAAAGTGGTGACAATCGCTGGTACCGTCGAACCTCTAAGTTGTCGCCCGTCCGTGCAACTAGACGTCTAATGATTGACTCAGAAGATGGATCACCACACAAATGCACTTCTTTAGCTTGAACGCCCAAAAACGCTTGTGTCCAAGCCCATCCACGTTGACCGTCTTCAATCATTTGGATTTCATCAATGACCGCAACATCCATGGGTCTATTCACGTCCACCATTTCGATAGTGCCACAAGATATCTTTACCGGAACACCAAATTGATCGTAGTCTTCAATCACTTCCTCACCAGTAACCAAGTTGCAAGCTTGCCCAGCTGCTTTGAACCGATTATAAACTTCACGTGCAAGCAATCTCAAGGGACCGGCATAATACCCACTTTTAGCACCCTGTAACGCTTTAAGGGCAGAATATGTTTTACCACTATTTGTTGGGCCAATGTGTAAAATGACGTTTCGTCGTATGGCACGCGCAGCAGGGTACCACTCACCTGGGTTGGTCATGTCAATGGAGACTAAATTGTTGGTCTTGGAATCGGACGAAAACTCCACCTTGAGCTTGGCTCGAAAGTATCTCAAAAATGAGCCAGATACTAAATAAAGAGTCTGCTGAAAAATTGTTTTAACGTGGTCGAGCGATGCATCTTGGGGGATATTGTCTATTAAAGCAAGAATTTTCCCCAGTTCGGGTATCACGGGAGGGTTCTCAACATAACTGGCATAAGCAGAATCGTCATTTTCATACACAATATAAGCTCTGCTAGATGCATTCATATCCTTGATAAACTCATCAATCACCTTTTTTAAATCGTGCGACATTTCCTCCTTAACATGGCGCACAAGATTCCATACGGGGATTTGATTTACTATCGCCGTATTCTTTAAAGCCACTTGGACCTTATTGATTAACAGGTCAAAAGCTTCTTTCCGTGCAGTAGATTGTGGTGACGATTGTAAAATCTTTTGTTCGAGCTCTATATCTTTGTTGACTTTATCAAAAACTTGCTTGCATGTCGTATTAAATTCTTCAACTCGTTTATCGGTCTGTAGATCAACTGGTGTAAAATTGGAATTTGTTGCGGTAGGCTTACGCGGCCTTTCTTTTTCTTTTTCTTTCAGTTTCTGATAACCTTCATCATTGTTTTTCCGATGCCGTATATCCCTCCAGTTGTATTCATGTTTATATGAAAATCTATTCCTGGATTGATTGTTGTTTTGGTGTCCACCTAGGTCAAGGTTATTATAACGAGCGTTTCCAGAATCTTTTTTGCGAATTCGGTTCTTAACAATGCCTGTGGACGCAACACTATTATTACGTGGCCGCTCAACTGACCCCAAAATACTGCGAAAGAGAACAGGATGGTTCAAACTTCTCTTGCAGTGACTATAACGAAGCATTTTGATTCGAAAGGTTTATTGATCTTTGAGTGGAAAAAAAAATTTTTTTTATCCAGACCTAATGGTTTTCTATAGTCAAATCACGTGCAAAACGAATACTATTTTTTTTAAAAAAAAAAAAAAACACCGCGAATCAAACATAATTTTCACCACCGCCACCACCAATTTTTCAATTAAATTTTTTTTTTTTTTCAAACAATCACCCATCCACAAATGCCTTTAAACTCGATTCTTGGTGCGGGCGCAGTTGTTCGTGCAAGTCTCCGACCTCGCATAGCTGCTCGATTTACTTCTTCTTTTCGTTCTTCCGTTACTAGCAAAACTGGTACTCCTTACACTGTTGGCGACCAGTATGGCGGCTTTAGTGTTAGTCGAGTTGCAGAAGTCCCGCAGCTTGGTATGACTGCTGTTGAGCTTCTCCATAACCCAACTCGGGCTCGCCATTTGCACTTGGACCGTGATGATTCCAACAACGTGTTTTCCATTGGCTTTAAGACAAACCCACCAGATCTTGCCGGGTTGCCTCATATTCTTGAGCATACTACTCTCTGTGGCTCTGAAAAATATCCAGTCCGTGATCCATTTTTTAAAATGCTCACCCGATCGCTTGCAAACTTTATGAATGCAATGACTGGGTTTGATTACACATTCTATCCCTTTGCCACAACAAACCCTACAGATTTCAATAACTTGCAAAAAGTTTACCTTGACGCAGTTTACCACCCTCTCTTACGACCTCTCGACTTTTCTCAAGAAGGTTGGAGACTTGAAAATGAAGACGCTAATGATATCAATACTCCATTGACTTACAAGGGTGTTGTCTACAATGAAATGAAAGGACAAATGTCTAATCCTTCTTACCTTTTTTATATTAAATATTTTAGAGAAATCTATCCCAGCTTGAATAGCAGTGGTGGCGATCCTATTTATATCCCCAGCCTCAAGTACCAAGATCTCAAGGACTTCCATGATGAAAGATACCATCCATCTAACTCATTTTCTCTTTCTTATGGTAATATAAAGCTTAACAAGATTCTTGGACCCATTGAGGAGACTGTTTCTTCGTTTCAGTACCTCAAGCCTACACTGAGTGAAGTCAAGAAGCCAATTGAACTTACCGAAACAAAGTCTGTCACTGTTGACGGGCCTCTTGATCCTCTGTTTGATGAATCTCGCCAACACAAGATTTCTCTTTCCTGGATTTTGGGCGATTCTAGCGATGTCAACAGCACTTACCTGTGGAAGATTTTCGGCAACCTTCTAATGGACGGCCACTCTTCGCCATTTTACAAGGCCCTTATTGACACCAACTTGGGAACAGACTTTTCAGTCAACTCTGGGTTAGATACTACCCCTGCAAGAAACATTTTGACTATTGGTTTACAAGGCGTTTCTGTGGAAAACTTGCCCAAGTTTAAGGAGGCTGTCTTTAATGTTTTTGAAGATATTGCCAAAAACGGAATCCCTCAGTCCAAGATTGATTCTATTTTGAATCAAGCCGAGCTTTCTGATCGTGAAGTGGAGGCTAACCTTGGTATGGGATTTGTTTACAGACTTTTCCCCCGCGTGTTTAACAAGGCTGAGCCCTTTGACTTGCTTGATAACGCTAAGCTTTTGACTCAGTTTAAGGAGGAAATCAAGAATCCTGAACGCTTCCAACAACTAATTAAGGACTACATTCTTGACAAGCCATATTTTGAGTTTAAGATGGTTCCTAATGAAAAATTCGAAGCCAATCTCGCTGAGATTGAAAAGAAGAACTTGAGCGATAGAGTTGCCACTGTCACTGAGACTGAAAAGCAGACAATTTACGAGACTGGCCAAAAGCTTCAAGCCGTTCAATCAGAGGTTGAGGATGTTTCTGTTCTTCCCACTCTTCGTACCAGTGACATTAGCCCCAAGGCCCGCTCCGTCACTATTACACAAGATACTACTTCTGATGTCCCAGTTTCGTTGCGAGTTACCGATACCCAAGGACTTACTTACCTTAGAATGCTCAAAAATGTGGGCAACATTTTACCAGCAAACCTTAGACATTTTTTTCCCTTGTACTCGGACGCTGCTGCCAACGTAGGATTGACCGATCTTTCTATGGAAGACTTTGAAAATGAAATTAAACTCAACACTGGTGGGTTTTCTATTTCCAGTGTCATCCGTACGAGCCCATTAGACTCAAGCAAAGTGGATCTTCTGCAACACTTTAATGGTGTTTCATTGGATGAGAAGGCTGATAAGCTTTACGACTATTATTCCCGTGTTCTTACCAAAGCTTCATTTGGCAACTTGGAGAAACTGATTCCCCTTATTCAGAGCAGTGTTGCAAACTCCATGAATTCGCTTTCTGACTCTGGTCATTCTTATGCCACAACTCACGCCAGTGCAGCCTTTTCCCTTTCTAGAAGACTTTCAGAGCTTTTCAACGGTCTTGAACAGGTACAGTTTATGAAGCAGTTGTCATTGTTTGACGAAAAGCAGCTTCAGGAGAAGCTTGTTCCTAGACTGGAGCAGATTGGGAAGTTGCTTGCTACCAATGGTGATACACAGGTGGGCTTGACATTTTCTCCAGCTTCTGCTGAATCGTTGACTCAAACACACAAGAAGCTTATTTCTGACTTTTCCTCTTCTCTTACTTCACCAATTTCTGCCACTGAATCATTAAGTAGCCTTGAGCTTCTCCCTATTGACAAGACTTACTTTAACTTGCCTTTTCAGGTCTCTTATGTGGGCGTTGCTTTGAAGGGCGTTGAGTACACACACAAGGATGGCGCAGCTCTCCAGATTTTATCCAACCTTCTTACACACAAGTATCTCCACAAGGAGATTAGAGAAAAGGGCGGTGCCTATGGTGGTGGTGCTTCTTACAATGCCATTGATGGAGTTTTCACTTTTTACTCTTACCGTGATCCCAACCCTGTCAACTCGCTCGAGGCCATTTCTCGTGCTGGTTCTTGGGCTCTTGCCAATGACTGGAGCGAGCGCAATTTACAGGAAGCTAAGCTTAGCATTTTCCAGAGCATTGACGCGCCTATTTCCCCTCGCTCTGAGATTTCGTCCCAGTTTGTGCATGGTGTAACCAATGAGCTCCGCCAAGCTCGTCGTACTGCTCTGCTAAATGTTACGTTGGATGATATTAAGCAGGTCGCTGAAAAGTACCTTGTTTCGACTGTTGAGGCAGACTTTAAGGATACCAGTGTTACTGTTTTGGGTCCTGAGCAGACTGCCTTTACTGATAACAATGGGTGGAAGATTAGAGACATTGATACACCTTACATTGATTTCTCTTCTTCTCTTGCTTGATTTTATTAAATTTATTTTTTTGTATATATAATGAGTAATTTTTTTTTCCCCAATAATACTATAGATAAAACTTTTTCTTTTCCTTGTCCATCTCTGGTCTGTGCTCCCATTCAACTTCTTCACGAATACCTCTTTGCATTCGCTTTAATCTGAGAGTAAATTGAGGACCCAATTCTTGAAGCCCAACCTTTTCTTCGTTTCTGAAAATGTATCTATGCCTTCGGAAAAAGATAAAGTCACGCTGGTTATGCAAAGTGACGACTTGTCTACCTCTAAAGTCAGGTTGTTGTGGGAACAGTGCTTGGAATAACCGACCAACAGTCTTACCGAGTCTTGTTGTGAAGTTGTTGAGAACAAGCTCTGGAACGTGTGAAGTGGGCTTGCCGTGGCCAGGGATTTTTTCTGGGTACACAACAGATGATACACTAAAATAAAACGTGGGACCTGCTGGGAGATGGATAAAGGTGATGCCGTTGATTTTCTTCTTGTCCTCGTTAAGAATGATGAGATCTGTAAAATCTCTGTTTGTTGAAAATTCTGCCATGTGCTTAATTGTAAACTGCGGCTTGCGTGCAATAAAGGTCGAGTCTGGGATAATTTCTTGTAGCATTTCGGCAAACTTGTCTGCTTGTTTGCGTGCACCCACATTTGTAGTAATTAAAACCTTAGGTTTCACACCTTCATCAAAGTACTCTGCAAACTCGTCTTCACCCTCAACCTCAGCTCCCACACTTTCATCGTACTCGCGCATGTTCTCGATTGTTGACGGGACGTTTTGCTCCAAGCGCTCCTTTTTGAGTTCAGGGTTTTGGGCCTCTTCGCGAGCCCGCGCAGCACGCTTCTTGTGGCGCTCCTTGTTGACCATGTCGCGGTACTTGCCAACAACCTCCTCGCGCCGTATTTTATTTTTGATCTTGAAAGTTTTGCCGTTTGCTGTTCCTCGTGCCATTTTTTTGTGGGTATGATTGTGTTGATGATGAAGATTTGAGAATTTTTTTTTTTTTTTTTTTTTTTTTTTTTTTTTAACTGAGCCTAAAAATTTTTTTTTTTGGGCGATAAAATTTTAGAGAAAGCCGCACATTACACACGTGACTAAGCATTGAATTGTGAATCCAAATCACCACTGGTTAAAATCTCCATTTTACAGAAATCTCTTTTTAAAATCTCTTCTTACACAAATCTATTGAAACAAATTTTCAATGGCTCTAATGCCATTGGTTTTCCAGGAAACTACCTTGCCTTGCCACTTGCCTTTACCGCCACCTTTGACATCTGGCACGGCCTCTTTGACCTTTTTGGCAGCATCATCAATGGCTTCCTTACTAGTACCTGCAACAATAATGAGCCCACTTTCGGTAGCCTGGCCTCCAGCAAAAACAATGACAAAGGGACTAGGAGACTTGATTTGTTCAAGTGGTCCAAGTTCCTTTTCAACTGCACGGAAATAATCCATTGAACCCTTTGCGTTATAAACAACAACTCCGTTATAACCGTTTTCTGGGACTTCGGCAAAAGTACTGATCTTGGATTTAAGATCGTGGGCATCTTTAGCTGCCATTTCCAAAGACCAGTATTTTTCTGCGCTCTTTGCTGCTTTTAGTTGTGTGGAAAGCTCGCTAAGCTTAAGCTCAATATCCTCGGTGGTGCACGAGAGCGTTGAGTTAACTTTGCGTAAGTAGTCATTGGCTGCACGTGCATATTGCACAACTCGGTTTCCTGCCAAAAAAAAGATGCGACAGTTGGTGCCACGGATAGATTGAGTGTGATTAAAAAGAGTTAGTGCAGAGACGTGAGCTGTTGAGCGCAAGTGGGTTCCGCAGCAAGGGTTATTATCGAGAGAGCCGATGGTGACGTGTCGGATGACTCCTTTATCGGTGTTAGGGTCAATAATAGCTTCGGACTCTGGGGTCGCAAGAGATTGGTTAGAGTCTGGGATCTTGACTTCAATATCGAGGCAGTCGTTGATGGCATCGTTGATTTCTGCTTGGACTTGGTCGATTTCCTGCTGAGAAAGCTTACGTCCGATTTCAATGTAGTTGAAATTAGGCAATGCTGTGACTGCCTCGGAAACAGTTGTGGGTACGATAGCATCTGGAACAATCGTTTTGCCCATGCTCCAACTTAGAGTTGGAACATTACGCTTGTCTAAGATCGCAGAGAGAAGGTGTTGACCTGTATGCTGCTGCATATGGTCGAACCGGCGGGCCCAGTTAACGTGAACTTCAACGTCAGTTCCTGAAGCAATAAACTCAGGCGTTTCATGGAGAGCTGTGAGACCATTTCTTTTGACTGCAAATACTGGGATTTCCTTTTCAGAATCCTTAAGTTTAATAACGCCGGTGTCAGAAGGTTGACCGCCGCCTATAAGGTTTAAAAGGTGTTAAAAATGGCTAAAGTTTATGATAAGAAACTAACCCTCAGGGAAAAGAGTTGTGTCGGCAAGTTCAATTTCATATTTGGCGGGGTTTTCAGGAATGGTTTCCTTTTTGCCTTTAGAAGCCTTTTTGGTGGTATCTTTAGGGATTTCTGTACAGGAAATAACCTTTGTTGTGAGAGTCTTAAGATAAGAGTCAATCTGACAAGCAAGAAGACCGACGACGGCTGATGAATATTTGGACTTGAAAGTCTCAAGAGCTGAGGAGGTAGCAGAGGAGATGATGGGCCCTGGTGGAGTCATTATGAAGATGAATTTGATTCCCGATGACAATAAACTTGATGAGTATTGGACAGCAGAGGGTAGAGTTGAAGAGAGCCTTTTTTTTTATTTTGTTTTTCTTCTTTCAAACAGAGAGAGAGAGAGAGAGAGAGAGAGAGAGAGAGAGAGAGAGAGAGAGAGAGTCTTGTGAAAATAATAACCGCCACAAGAGTAAGTTGTAATTGCCGGGTTGAATTTTTTGTTTGTGACTCAGAATCACAGAGAGTTTTCATTCTTTTTTTTTTCTCACTCTTTTATGCTCAACCAATACTAAATGCTCAAAAATATAAAATAACATGAGTGCAATTCCTAGAGTATTAACTATTGCTGGTAAGTCAAATATAAAAAGCAAATTAATCCAAATCTAATATTTTTAAGGTTCCGACAGCTCTGGCGGAGCAGGCATTGAAGCAGACCTAAAGACAATGACTGCATATAACTGCTACGGTATGACGTGTATCACCGGTTTGACAGCGCAAAACACGCTTGGGGTTCAGGCAATTTACCCCGTGACTGATCAGTCGTTTTTGGAAAAGAGTTTAGAGGCAGTTTTTTCAGATGTTGGTGTGGATGCTATCAAAACCGGAATGATGTCTACAGTGGCCACTGTGGACACAATTGCTGCGAAATTAAAAGGATACCAAGATGGAAACAACCGGTTGAACCTTGTTGTTGACCCAGTGATGGTGTCGACATCTGGAGCAAACTTGATTCCAGAAGAGGCCGTGGATAAGTACATTGATATTTTGATACCTCTTGCTCGGGTGTTTACGCCGAACTTAATTGAGGCTAAATATATCTTGGAGCACTTGGAAAAGCGGAGGGCTGGTGAATTGTTGGTGTCTAATAAGTTTGAGATTAATAGCTTGGATGAGATGAAAGCAATGGCTAAGGAGTTACATGAGAGATTAAAGTGTGAGACTGTATTACTCAAAGGTGGCCACATTGCTTTCAATAAAAATCTAGAAGTTGAAAAGAAACCGACTAAAGAGGGCCGGGTTATTGTTGATGTTTTTTATGATGGCATTGAATTCCACATTTTACAGTCAGATTTTATAGAGACCAAGGCTACTCATGGAACTGGATGTACATTATCATCTGCAATTGCATGCAACTTGGCATTGGCCAATAGGAAGGAGAAGAAAACGCTAGTTAGAGCGGTTACAGACTCTGTTCACTATGTTCAAGAGGCTATTAGAACAGCTCATACTATTGGGCATGGGTTTGGGCCGGTAAACCACATGCATACATTACAGCACCGACCATTTGTGACAGGTAAGTTTGTGGACTATTTGTTAGGCCACCCCAAGGTGCGAGAGAATTGGGAGCGGTATGTTGGCCATGAGTTTACGCGGCGGCTTGCACACAATACACTGGACATTAAATCTTTCAAGTTTTTCCTTGAGCAGGACTACATTTACTTGAAGCACTATGCGAGGTGTTATGGGCTTGGGATCTACAAGTCTGATGATATGGAAACCATTACCAAGGGGGCCGGAGTGATTGAACACATTGCACATGAGATGCAGCTGCATGTTGGGTACTGCCAGGAGTTTGGGTTGACCATAAAAGATCTGGAGCGTGTGCAGGAAGGCCAAGCAACCTATGCATACTCGCGATGGTTACTAGAGGTTGGAGCCAAAGATGATTGGTTTGCATTGCAGGTAGCCTTGTCTCCATGTTTGTTTGGGTATTTGGAGGCAGCAGCCCGGTTGAAGCGAGATCCTCAGGCAGTATCAGGGCATGATAAAAATCCATATTGGAAATGGGTGGAAACGTATACGGCGCCTGATTTTGGAGAGGCAGCTGATGAGGGTCGAGAGATTTTAGAGGCAGGAGTACTGAAGCATTCTGTGGATAAGATTGAGATGCTGGTTGATATATTTGCGACTGCAACACGGATGGAATGTGAATTTTGGGATGCAGCTTTAGAGTATGGTAAAAAGGAGTAGTATTTGATTATGATGAGTATATATATATATATAAATATATATATATACAAAATGCGACTTTTAAACGAATAAATGGGCAGACTTTTTTTTTTTTTTTATATATATTGGAAAGGGCTTGGACATAAATAAATCTTTTTAATTCTCAAATGAGATTGGTGGGATTTTTTTCTTTAGGAGGGGGGGGGGGGGTGTTTAGGGAAGATGTTTTTGATATTCTAAAAAAAAAAAAAAAAAAAAAAAATAAAAAAAGGTCCAATACACGTGATTATTTAGGGTTAGGGTGAGATTTATTTTTTATTTATTATTGAGAAAGTCATCAAATTCCATTTTATTTTTTATTTTTTATTTTTTTATTTTTGCAACTCCTCCATTAAAACTAAAAAATAAAAAAAAATTTTCCATTTCTGCCAGCATTCAAAACTTTTTTTTTTATTTTTTTTTAAATATAAAAAAAAAATTTATCACCACCGCCACCCCTTTTATATTTTATATATTTATATATTTTAAACAAGCAATAATATTAGAATAACCAACTCTAAACAAGCAATTGAATACATTAAAAAAAGCCATTCCAATATTATACAAAGCACCATACAGGCTTCTATTCAATAAATCACATACACTTATATATATATATAAATAAATATATATATACATATATACACAAACAAACAATATCTTCTTCACTTGTCTATGCCTCCAGCACAGACCTCCAAGCAATCTTCATCTTCAAATACAAGCGACAACCACCAGCAAACTTCCCATTCAATTTCTAATACTAGTTTTACAAATCAAGCTCATTTTGTACCATCGTACCATGACCAAATATCTCGCGAAAATAGACGCCATTTAATTCAAAACCAACCCAGAATGAAAGAACGCGATCGCCGTGAACGCGAACATCAAGATTACAAGCGTCGTCGAAATGGCCCGCCAAAAGATTTATATGTATGCCTTCTTTTTTTTTTTTTTTTTTTTTTTTTTTGAATACTATCTATTTCAATATTCCATTTTTTTTTTATTACTAACTTTATAAAGAGACGAGATTTATCTCCACCGTATTCAAGAAGAGACAACCAGTACCCTTACTCATCATCTTCTTCATACGGCCACGATTACCCCCCTAGACCTTCCGGCTCTCACTACTCTGGCACTTCAGGCCCCAGTCGCCACCCGTCAGCTTATAATGACCCTCCTTACCCTCTTCGGTACTCAGACCGCCAGTATTCTTCTTCTGCAGCTTCCTCTTCTTCGGCTTTCCCGCCACCCTCAGACAGACGCAGCAACAATGACTACCCACCTTCCCATTTTTCCTCTGCAAAATCTTCATGGCAACAACGCAGCCATCCCTCTCTTCCACCAGCACCTCTCCAGTCTTCAGCAAGCTCCTCATCTATTATATCATCATCATCCTCTTTTTCTTCTTCTCCCTCCATGGGCCTACCGGTAGGAGCTGGCTCCTCGGCCCTCCCCTCGTCGTCGTCATCATCATCATCATCTGCCGCCGCTGCAGTTGCAGCTGCTGCCTCTGCTTCAGCAGCGGCTGCTTCTGCTGCTTCCATGGCTACCGGACCTTCGTCCTCGTCTTCTCACATTGCCCGCTCTTCTTCCACAAACTCTATTTACGATGATCACCACCGTGACTACCCTCCTTCAAAGTTTGGTCTTGACCGTGACCGTGATCATCTTCGTGATCGTGACCGTGACCGTGACCGTGACCGCGATAGAGATAGAGACCGCGACCGTGATCATATCCGTGACCGCAGACCTATTGGAGGTGACCGCGATAGAGACCGTGACCGTGACCGCGATGGCCTCTCTTCAGGATCCTCTTGGTACCCTGACCCAGAGTTTTCAGCTCGTCGTAGTGACTGGGACTACGACAGCAGACGACGGGTTTCAGATGACAAGCGCAGTAAATGGGGTGCAAATATAGGAATGGGCAGCATTAATAGCAGCAACAACAATAACAACAACAACAACATTAACAATAACAATAACAATAACAATGGCAACAACAACACCAACAACAACAACACTGGTGGCGAACACTCTCTTCCTCATAAACCTCCACCACTATCATCATCCAACTCATCGTCATCGGCCATTGGCTCTGGAAGCTTTTCTGGACCTTCTGGCTTTTCAGATTCGTTCCATTCATCAGCTCCATACTCTTCTCGTGTTTCTTGGGACCGCTGGGAACAAGAGCGTGATAGCCGTGATTACATACGTGACCGACGTGATAGAGACCTTTCGGAGCGTGAACGTGACCGTGACCGCGAACGCGACAAGGAAAGAGAAAGATTAAAATTTTCTTCTAATGTCAACAACTCGTCTTCATCTTCCAACCAAGCAAACTCATCTTCTCTTCAATCTTCTACCACGCCAACTCGAAGTTCAACTGGTGCTGTAGCCTCAACTCCTTCTTTAACCGCCCAAACAAACGGAAATAGTCCCATGTCGACCTCATCATCTTCAACTAGCGCAACTTCAGCTTACCCAGATAGGGACCGTGACTTACGACTACGAGACCATGATCGTGACCGCGACCGCGACCGCGACCGTGACCGCGACCGTGAACGAGATAGAGAAAGTGATAGGGATCGGGTACGTGACCGTGAGCGTGATTTTTCCATTAGAGAAAGAGAACGAGATCGTGACCGTGAGAGGGATCGTGACCGCCATGACCGCTTTGATCGCCTGGACCGTTCTTCATGGTGGGAATCTAGAGATCGCTATGAGCGTGACAGATATTCTCGTGGCCCGATCTCCAGAGACTCATATACACCATCTATTAATGACTCACGTCTTTCTTCCTCTCATGATTACATACGTGACAAGTCTTTAGACTCTGGACCGCCGGGATATCCATCGCGACCAAAGGAACCAGGAAGTGGCAGCATGCCTGAGCGATCACTCAAGCCTTACCGCAACGATGCACATGACAGGGCAGCAGGTGGATTCAGCTACCGCCCAACTAGACCCCTTTTCTTAGATGCTTCTAACACAATGCGCAAAGCAGTTTCAGAATCCAGTGCGTCACTTTCGGAAGGAATATTTACCACTACAGCCCCTCCCACTTCTACTAATAATAACGTCAACGCTACTACTTCTACTACCACTACCACTACCACTACCACTACCACTACTACTAGTAATAGTAATAGTAATAGCAGCAACAATAGCAACAATAGCAACAATAGCAACAATAGCAACAACAGCAACAACATCAACAACAGCAGCAACAGCAGCAACAGCAGCAACAGCAGCAACAGCAGCAACAGCAGCAACAGCAGCAACAGCAGCAACAGCAGCAACAGCAGCAACAGCAGCAACAGCAGCAACAGCAGCAACAGCAGCACCTCCATCAACACTACCGATACTAACAACAATACCAACAATACCAGCAATACCAGCAATATCAACAACACTAGCAATACTCCCAACACATCTTTAAATGTTGATAATAGCATTAAACCTCTACGTAGCGAATCAGTCGAACCAGGAAGTACTAACCCCTTGGCCACAGGTACCGGCAAAAACCCAAAGGGTGAAAAACAATCAAATGACGATGACTTATTCCCTCACCTTCTTGAAGAAACAACTACAGACTCAAAATCCAAGGCTGAAATTACAGCAAAGCTCAATTCGGCACGTTCTGGAAAATCCACTCCTTCTATTTTGCCTGGAGCTGTTACGCCCAAAACTCCATTGTCTATAACAAAAAAGCTCGACTCTCCTCCTCCACCAAAATCTCCCATGCTCAGTCCACATGAATCTTCTGCCAAACGAGAATCAACCAAACCAGTTACAGCTTCCAGTAAAGTCATGACTCGGCACTCTTCTACTCCAGCAACCATTGGGAAAAACACATATAAATCATCTCCGCTTGATAAAAAGCCTGCGAAAACAGACCAGCCTAAATCTTTTTTCGGAAACAATACTTCAGAACATTCTTCCAAAACATCTCCATCAAAAGATATTACACCATCATCAGCGACAATGAAATCTAGTTCGCCAGCACCTGACCAATCAACCAACTCAGAACTTGCTGATAAAGTCTCTTCATCTAAGCACTGGTCACCAATCCCATCAACTGAAACCCATGTAAAAAAGAAAGAGGATATACGACCGAATAAGTCTTTGGAATTTGAGAAAGAGAGTGATAAGAAGCTTATTGTTCTGAACAGTAGTGACACCAGTAAAGAGGAGCCGAAAAATTCTTTGGAATCTAGTAGGATTTTAGATAAATCAATACCAGCTACAGAGTTTAAAGTTTTGGAGACCCAGACTAAGGAAAAGAAAACTAAAGAGGAGCCAAAGACTGAATCTGAGGTTGAATCTAAGCCTGGTTCTAAAGTTGAATCTAAGATTGAGTCTAAGGTAGCGTCCAAGACAGAACTCAAAGAAAAGGAAACTGAGCGTGAGAAGTTTGCAATCACTGAACTTAAAGAAGTTGAGTCTAAATCTGAGCACCAAAAGACTAAGGAAAATGAAACTAAGACGACTGAGAACAAAAATATTTCATCTGAATCTCAGCTTGCTGAAGCTATTGAATCCAAAGAATCCTCTACTGATTTGAAAAAGCCCCCTCCTATTCTACCTTCAAAACAATCGTCTGTTTCTGAAAAACAAAAACTACTAGTCAAGGATGCCGAACATAAACCAATTTCCAATACTCCTCCAACAGCTCCAGCTGCTTTTAAAAAGTCTCTCATTACTTCTGCTTCATCATCACTCTCTTTGATTGACAAGCCGAAAGCTGCAGTCAAATCCACTTTGAGTTCTCCACCATCAAAACCCAAAGTTTCGCCGGAAATTTCTTTTGAGAAGCATTCTGTTCAGGATGAAGATGTTGTCATGGATGATGTTAGCATACAACCTCCAACACTTTTAGTTCAAACGAAGTCATCGTTACCGCCAAAACCTGAACCACACAAGGAGGAATCTACAGATCCTCTTCTACAATTGCCAGTAGCTAAAAAGTCACAATTACCGGTGGATGTTCTTCCAGTAAATGTTGAAAAGTCCAAGTCAATGGAGCCCAAAACAGCTCTTCCAGCTGTCAAACTTTCTCAACAGACCAAACCTGAATCTGGGGAATCCTCTAGCCAACAGCCTTCTTTTGAGACAACTAAAAAGTCAGCAGAGGTAGTTTCGCAGAGTGTTTCATCATCAATAGAGGCAACAATGGAAGTTACAGCAAAGTCTGCTGAAAAGCAGCTCCCTACTGGCCCTGCTGCTTTTACAAAGTCTGGCGAACCAGTTAAATCAGTTTCATCGCAAACGTTGAATTTTCAACAGCAGGCTGCAAACAAACCTAGAAAGATCATTCCAAGCGCAGTAAGTTTTGTTATTTCTTTTTTTCCCCTCCCCTCAAATGCTAACATTATTTAAAGGTTAAAACTGCAACTAAGACTACCATTCCAGAGGCGGAACCCAAACCTTTAGAGTTGAACTCTGAAAAACTACCCAAGAGTGTTGAAACTGAAACGTCGGTAATTCCCTCTGTTTCACCCCAGCAAGTCAAAACTGCCGAAAAGAACTTGGTTAAGGAAGTTGCACATGTTCAAAAGGTTCAAAGAGAAGAATCACCTAAGCTTGTTGAAGAGGCTGAGGTGACTAAGGTCGACGAAATCAAAGAAGAAAAGCCTGAGGAAGATGAGCTTCCGCTTATGTTCCCCTTGAATCGTCTTGAGCAGGGGATCTACGACCTTCAACAAATTCCTCATGATGAATTTGTCAAAGACATGAAGTACCTCACAAAGTCGCCAATCAAGTCACTTAATTCCTACCCATTCTATTACCGTAACATTGCAATGAACAATGCTACAGTCAAGCCAATTCTTAAGGAAACAATTTCTCACCATCGCCATGATCTTTATGAAAATAGCAAGGCTTACAAAAAACAGTTTGATGACATCAAGTCTGCGTGGCTCAAGTATTGCGATTACATGGACCGCAGTCAAAACATTAAGGTTTCTCAGCAAACTACTCCTACTCTTGCTCAACGGGAATTACCTTCTGTTGGTGGCAGTAGCTCTACCGGTCCACCAAGTAGCGGGGGCAGTGGGCGTCGTGGTCGTAACCATTATGGTGATTCTGTCCGCAGCGAGGCCGAGTTTTTGGAGATATTGGCCAACTTTGAGCGTGAAAGTGCTAGAGACCCTTCAGTACGGTCTAGCCTCACTTCGGCCCATGTCCCCAACATGATTTATGACCCTGTTGTTCGTGATGAGGTTCGCTACATGGATTCCAACAATTTTGTGGAAGACAAGTCGATTCCATATCACCGACTTATTACCGATAACATTGACAACTTTTCTCCTGAGGAACATGAGGCCTTTTGCGAAGCATATACAATATATCCTAAGCAATTTGGTCGCATTGCAAAGGCCATGGGTGGAAAGCGGTCATTTAACGATTGCGTTCTTCATTATTATCAGACGAAAAAGCAGGTTGATTACAAAACTATGCTTCTTAATAAAAATAGAAGAACTACTCGCAAGGGTCGTAAGAAACAGCAAAAGGAGAAACAACAGAGACAGGAAGCAGCAGCAGCAGCGGCAGCAGCAGCAGCTGCGGCGGTCACAGTGGCTCCTGCAACACCTACTGTACCCACGCCTGCTACAGCTACTCCAGCATCTGTGCCCCCATCAATTGCAGGATCTACTCATTCCTCAACTCCTGGTACAGCTACTACTTCACCTGCACTTCCAAACGGCAGTCTTGAGCTCCGAACAGCCACTATTCCAGACTTGATTGTACCACCTATACAGAATGTTATTGATACTTCAGCAGTTGGCACCCCAGAGTCTGGTACACCTTCAGTGATAGTTGTGATTCCATCGGGGGGTGCTACCACTGCTACACCTTCGATGCCTTCTGGCGTTTCTGGCAAGCGGAAAACTCCTGAGGATGATGCACGCGCCGATGCCAAAGCAACTAAGAAGCCTCGTGGAACCAAGAGTAGTCGCAGCACGCGGTCACGCGACAAGAAAAAGGCAGAGGAAGAACTTGCCTCTGCAACTCAATCGCCTGCTCTGCAGTCCACACCTACACCTATCGTTGAAGGCCACGATGAATCACCTGCAGTTCCATCTAACCAAATTCAAGAGTTGTATCAACAAGGTGCTCAGCGTCAAGAGACTTCGGAACACTCACAGTCCCAGCAAAACCATGCTCATCCTCAACGGTCCTCGAGTTACTGGACTGTTAATGATTTGAATCTTTTCCAAAAACTTTTGTCTAGTTATGGTACTGACTGGGAAAGCATTTCCAAGCACTTTAAATCCAAGAGTGCTGTGATGGCTAAAAACTGTTTTGGGAAAAACGCTGAAAAGCGCAGTTGGATCAAGATTGCAGAAGATGCTGATGACCGTATCAGCAAAGGTCTTCCCATGCCTCCTCCACCTCCCATTTTGGAAGATGATAATTCACATCCAACTCGTCGTACTAGGAACAAGGGAGCTATAGACCACCAGGCAGCTACTGCAGCTGCTGAAAAGCAACCGTCACCAGCTTTTGCGGTTTCTCTTCATACTGAAGAGTCTCAGCCCACCAAGTTCGTTTCACCACCTCAACAGCCGGCTGCTGCTTTTGCAGAGGTTGCATTAATGAGTGCTTTAGATAAGAAGAGACAGTCTCAAGTTCTTCAGTCTCCTATTGTGGCTCATGCCCAGGTACAACAACCTACTCCTGTACTACAGCAACCACCACCACAGCTTCAACCACCACCACCACAGCAGCAATCGCAACAACAGAAGCAGCCTCGTGATTTTATTGCGCGCATTCAAGTCAATGACCAAAGCGCAGCATTTGCAGAAGCTGAAAGACGTGCTATAGCTCAGAATGAAGCTCGTGCTCAAGCTGAGCTGCAAATGCGTGGTCAAGCTGCACCGAAACCTGTCACTGGTTATGTTTCTGGAGATGCCCGTCAGCATTTGGCTCAGCAGCGACAATTCACTTTGAACTCTGCAGCTCAGCCAACTTCGCAGTATTCATACAATACCCCTGCCCCTGCCCCATCTCATGTTTCTCCCATTCAGCAGCTATTGCAAGCTACGAGCGAGGATACCAAGAATAATGAGACTCCTAGAGTACTGCCACCACTTTCTCATTCGGAAAAGCCACCGCAACCAGTACCATCAGTTGTCACAACGACAATAGCACCCTCATCCTCAACATCTCCACAAACAGAAAAGAGTCCGCTTTACAATCTTCCGCCGCCCACGTCGTTTGGTACCAATTCCCGTACGACTGGATTTTATCTACCTAAGCCCAAAATCCCAGGGGCTTATGAGCAGCAGCAGCAGCAACAACAACAGCAACAGCAACAACAGCAGCAACAACAGCAGCAACAACAACAACAAGAGAATGCACGGGCTCAGCTACATGAGATGGAACGCCTCAAAAAAGAGAAGGAGAAAGAGCAGGAATTTGAGCGCCAGAGACAGGAAAGTCTTTTAAAGGCTCAACAGCTTCGGCAGCAGCAGCTGGATGAACTTCAAAAGGAACAACAGCGTAAGCAGACGGAACAAAATGAGAGGCTGAAGGAACGCAAGTTGGAACAAGAACGAGAAGAAAGACGGCTTAAGGAGGAACGCGAATTGCAGCAGCGCCGAGAACAAGAAGCTCGCGAGAGAGAGATTTTGTTACAAAAGCAGCGTGAAAACGAGGCCTACATTCGTCAACAAAACTATCAGCAACCGCTTTATGGCACCATCTCGAACGAGCGCGGTGCTTATCCACAGCAAAATGGTGGTCCTTTTGTTGCACGAACCAGCATGCCTTCTTTGGCTAGTTTGTCTGAGGTTGCTGTTAATGCCAATGCGTATCAATCATTACCGTACAGAAATACGAGCCCAGCAGTTGCAACTGCAACAATGCCTGCATCAACAACCACATCAACAACAACTTCTCAGCGCAAGAGCAGTACCAACTCTATTTCCAACATTTTGAACCCTGTTCAGGATTCTGCAGCGTCTGAGCCCGGAACTTCATCTGTACGAGCTACTGCTTTGCCACCATTGCCAACCTCTGCCAATAACAATGGCAGTGGAAGTAATGTCAGCAGCAGTGGCAGCACTTCCTCTGGCACTAATGACAGACCATGGTACGATCCTGTTCGACAAGGAAACGCATACTCTGCATCACAATTTGGCAATAAGACTGCTCAGGCTGCTTACTTGCCTCCATTGCAACCTCTTCCTTCACGTGCCAGCATTGTTGACACACTTTCAAGTCGGTATCCGCCTTTATCTAGTATTCGACATTCACCTGAGGGCACAGCAACCCAATTGCATCCGGCATCGTACCGCTCTGCACACAATACAAGCCCGGCGTCATTATCCAACATTTTATCGCCTAGCGAAAGCACTACTCCAGTTTCCGCAGTGCCACCACAAGGTTCTTCTTCTGTGAACATGTCTCTCAACAGTTCTAGTGGTAGTTTTTTGCCAATGCCTCCGTCGCTTGGTAGTGGTGTGCGTGGCAGTGATAGTATTCGCCGGGCCGTATCGCCGTCGACTCCATATGTTGCTTCTACCGGAGGGGCTCAAATTCATTCTCATGTACACCAGCAGCAACATCCGGCATATGCGATACAGCAGCAGCAGCAGCAGCAACAACAATATGCTGGTGGCATTTATAGCAGTCACTACAGATTTCCAGATCAAGCTGTTGACCAAAGTGATGCCTCTGCACGTGCGAGTTCTACAATTGGGAGCGGAGCTGCTGCCTCACAGTCTTCCATGTCTACGACACAAGGGAATGCTATCTCTGGGCTGGCAGCTCTTTTGAGCAGTAGTCCGCATTCTTCTGCTGGGGGCCGGTTTGGCTACGATTACACGTCTCGCGAGAGCAACGAGCGAGGGGGATACCCAACCCAGTATCCTCATTCATACCAGCAACAGCAGCAACAACAACAGCAGCCGCAGCAGTCGCAACAACAACAACATCATCCTTATCCCTATCCATATCATCATCATCAGCAACCACCAAAGTAAAAAAAAGAAAATCGCATTTTTAGTGAAGTAGAATTTTGAACATGTTTAATATTGTAATAAAAAAATAAAATAATACATTTAAGAAAGACTCTTATTCATAAAACGTCTTCTGGTAAAGGCCAGCCAGTACTTGTTGGGAACTTTTTCGCCATTGGGGTACACTCTGGAAATCAATCTAAGAGCGAGTTCTTGTCGGAACTGAGTGAGGTAAGAGCGAAGGGTATCAGCCTCAGTTCTGTCTCTTGGAGGAGCGTAAAGAGCGTTAAGAGGAAAGCTTGCATCACCTGGAATGGTGAAGTGTTCAACAGCAAGGGTATTAAGGATCTTGTTGGCTTCGTTGGGAGGGGTTGTTGGTTTCAGCTTGTTGAGGCAGTCGGAAATAAAGAGAATTCCATAGATGAGAGTACGGTCTGCAGGACCCTTGATTTCAAAGTTGCGGAAAAAGGAGTTTGCACGGAATAAATCGAGAATCTCATCCAGAATGTCGTAATCGTCACTGCAAGGGTATGCGGGTCCGCGAAATTTGGTCTTAAGGGGAAGGACAGCAAAGTTGCCAATGACGCGGTCATCAGCGCCTTCAACAAGGAAAGTAGAATGGTAGGCCTAAAGAGATATTTATTAATTTTGAAATAATTAGAGAAAAAGATTGGAATTTTTTTTTTAGGGAATTGAAACTCACAGGCATTGTAGATTTATATATTGAATGATATGTGAAGAGACGCAGGATATATTTTTCTTTTTTATTTTATTTTATTTTTTTTTTTTGGAATTGAAATTGAAATTGAAATTGAAATATTTGGCAAAAAATGGCGATGGTTTTTGGTGGATTGGACGAGTGCGTGGTTTTCCAAGAAGGCTATACGATCCACGTGACCGTGTAATGTAACAAAAAAGCGGCAATATTTATTTACCAGGTAAGCTAAAAACCTACCTAGTAAATTGAATAAAAATTTTGAACACCCAAACAAAAACAGTGTGCTGAGGGCCCTCTTGTAAATTTTGTTATCACAACAAAACCTCCTCTTTTTTCCCACCAAAATATCGCCATCAAGGGATTTCTTTGCCCACACCAGAAACTCGCATACAATTCGTCACTACCAAGGAACATCTCCATATTTGTTCATGTATATATATACGTAGATCCAGAGTACGTGTATATATACTTCATATATATATCACATATATATCTTTTCTACTACGGTGGTTTCCCTCTTACGTTCATTTTTGAGTTCCAGTCATTCTTTTAATAATAATAATAATAATAATAATAATAATAATAATAATAATAATAATAATAATAATAATAATAATAATAATAATAATAATAATAATAATAATAAGCAAAACCACACGTTAAATGGATGGAAATAGCCACTTTAATAATCACTCTTCGCATAAACAGCCTCGACCTTCTCAATCTATTCCTCAGCTAGCGTCCCAGTTTCAAGCAACATCTCTGCATCCTACAAGTTCATTTAACTTTGCCCATCAGGGCAACTTTCAACAGGGACTCTCGCCACAGCAGCAGTCACCGCCACCGCAGCAGCAACAACAGCAGCAGTCACCGCCACCGCAGCAGCAACAACAGCAGCAACAGCATCCACAAAACTCGCTACAACAGCAGCAACAACAGCAGCAGTACCATAATCCCTCTGCAACAGCTGCCGCTGCCGCTGCTGCCGCTGCTGCTAATGCTTCTTCGTCTGCAACGTCTTTAGCTTCGACCTCTTCATCCACAAGCCCACAGCGGCCACTTGGTCCTTCTACTCGCGATACAGCTTTTACAAATATATTTGGGTTTTCGCGACCCCAGCCTTCAATTTCTGGCCCAGCTTCGGGGAATGGCTCAACAACAACCACTTCTGATCGTCATTTCTCATCTGGCAATAACAATAACAATTCATTTGGTTATTCTCAGGCTGGCACTTTCCCAGATCATCACCAATTTGCTTCAAATATAACAAGTAGTGGCGGTTCTTCAGGGGGAGGAGGAGGAGCCATGCCTTTGTCTTCTTTGCCTTCCCCAATAAACATGTCACAGATTCCACCTGTTCCAGTAACGACTAAATTCAATAGCGCTTATGATGAGAGCATGAATAACCGAATTTATGCTAACGGTGCAAATTATAACAACTCTTCTAATACTGGGTTCCCGAGGCCAAATCGCTCGGAATCGCCCGCACCTAGTCCATTTTCGGTTCCACCGGGCCAACAGCAGCAACAACAACCTCAACCTCAACCTCAACCTCAACAGCAGACGTTTTACTCTCCGCCGCCCATTGCTCAGATCCCGCACCGACCAGGGTCTGCGGGACCTCAACTGCAGCCCGCATTCCAGCAGCAAGATATAAATAGAAATTTTGATTTTGCTTCAGCCAACCATCACCGCCAACAACAGCAACTGCAACAGTTTGCGCACGGCGGCGGGGTACCACATCGCCCGAGTCTCCAAACCTCCCACCAGTATGGTTCATTGCCTCGATCTCCTTCCTTGCCTGCTAATCACTTGTCTGCTCAGCTTAATCAAATTTCTCAAAACCAAAGCCAACAACAACAACAGCAGCAGCAGCACCAACAACCCCGGTCTGCATCTGGTGGCAACATGCCTTCTCATGTACCTGTACCACATGCTGTGAGACCTCCTGCTAGTCAGTACAATCCAAACGTAATTCCTGCTCTTCCTGCGCCGTCCACTCGGAGCATGTCCCTTACATCGGCGTCTCGGCCTTCAGGGCCTATGGATCGGGATTTACATGGACGAAGTCAAACAATGACTCTTTCAGGCCGAATTATTCCGCGCCGACAGGGGATTGAGATGCTTCCTCATTTGCACCCAAATACTGCTTCGTCCAGTGGTAACAATACCAATCAGCGATCAACGTCGACTGGGTCTGCATCGTCTTCAACATCACTAGTTCCTATCAAGGGAGTTAAGTCTAAGAATCAAAGATCTACATCGACATCTTCGCGTGCCTCAGAAGAGGGAGTTTCGCTTTCGGACCCTGCTCCCATGTTCCCGTCGCCATCGTCTCATGGGTCGCCCAATTCGTCTTTTTCACGTGGAACTCCGTTCCCAGCACCAACTACCATTATTACTACTTCGCGTCGATCACCACTTGTTAAGCCGGCCTTTTTGTCTAAAGTAGCCCAAGCCTTTCAGCAGCGCATTGTTCTTCGGGACCGAGTCAAAAACGAGTTGACTTATACAAAGGCCTTTACTGGTATTGAGGCGATAGACTTAATTTGCTACATTATTCAGAGCACGGACCGCAACATGGCTCTACTTCTTGGGCGTGCATTAGATGCGCAAAAGCTTTTCCACGATGTTACTTATGAGCACCGACTGCGGGACCGCCCCGATGAGGTTTACCAGTTTAACGAGATTATGGTGGAGCGTGAAGAGGATGAGCATGGCCACATGTCTAATAGTCTTAGCAATAGTGTGACTAGTATTTCTAGCATGAATTCAATTACAGCTACGACTACTGGTGGCACTCTTGTTAACGCTGTTATTCCTAATACTGGCACTAAAGGTGCTGTTTCTTCTCATGCAGCTAATGAGCGTGCAAATAGCGTTAGCAGTGTCAATCAGCATCAGGGTCAGCAACATCAAGGCCACCCTGAACATTCGAAAAAGTCTGAAGCCACATCTGTTCCTGTCAATGGTATTTTTGTCCTTTTAACTAAGTGTTATTCTCCCACGTGTAGGCCAGACCGCCTTTGTTATTCAGTTGGATGTCCAAAAAGGTTGGAGCAGCAAGCAAGATTGAACATAAAGCCTAATTCTGTTTTAAAGCGGGCTGAAAGTCGATTGTCGCTTCATGGTGATGATGAAAAAGAGCACAAACTGTGGATTCATACAGTATCAAAGGATATTGTGGACAGTGTGAGTGACAAGGAGAAAAAACGACAGGAGGTGATTTGTGAACTGATTTACACTGAGCGAGATTTTGTCAAAGACTTGGAGTATTTGCGGGACTTTTGGATCAAGCCATTACAGGTGGGCAACATTATCCCTGAGTCTCGTCGGAAAAGCTTCTTGAACCAAGTGTTTGGAGTTATTCCTGAGGTTCATGCGGTCAACATTAAGTTAGCGGATGCACTGACAAAGCGGCAGCAGCAGGCTCCGATTGTTGACCAAGTTGGAGATATATTTTTGGAGTATGTGCCCAAGTTTAAGCCGTTTATTGAGTACGGCAAGAAGCAGGTATATGCCAAGTATGTGTTTGAGGGGGAGAAGAGCAATAATTCAGCATTTGCCAAGTTTGTTGATGAAACTGAGCGGAAGAAGGAGTCTCGGAAGCTTGAGTTGAATGGTTATTTGACTAAGCCGACGACGCGGTTGGCGCGATACCCGTTGTTGTTGGATGCAATTTTGAAGGCGACAGATGATTCGAATCCAGACAAGGAGAATTTACCCAAGGCTCGGACGCTTGTACGAGAGTTTTTGACGCAGTTGAATATTGAGAGTGGACGGTCTGAGAACCGGCAGCAGTTGATGCAGTTGAATAATAAGATTCAGTTCCGACCGAATGAGCGTGTTGATTTGAAGTTGACAGATGAGAGCCGACAGATTATCTTTAAGGGGACAATGAAGAAGCGTACTGGAGATAAGGAGAATCAAGGAGATGTTTTGATTTACTTGTTTGACAATAGTTTGTTGTTTCTTCGGCCTAAGATTGTGAATAAGCGTGAGAATTTAAATGTTTATCGCAAGGTAAGGGGTTTCTTTTTCTTTTTCTTTTTCTTTTTCTTTTTCTTTTTCTTTTTCTTTTTCTTTTTCTTTTTCTTTTTCTTTTTCTTTTTCTTTTTCTTTTTCTTTTTCTTTTTCTTTTTCTTTTTCTTTTTCTTTTTCTTTTTCTTTTTCTTTTATTTTATTTTACTAACTTTACAGCCTATTCCTCTTGAACTTTTGGTAATTAATGAAAGCGATGAAGCGCCACCAAAGGGGGCGACACGTCGTACGTCTTCTTCTCTTATTTCTACAGCTGCTAAGGTTGCGCCGTTGAAGGAAAATGCGCAGAACCGATACCCTATAATGTTTCAACACCTTGGACGACGGGGGTACGAATTGATTTTGTACACATCGTCGTACATTAGCCGAAAGAAGTGGGTGGAGAATATTATGGACCAGAAGAAGGTTCTTATTGAGAAGAGTGATGTATACACACAACACATTTTGATGCAACGGTTTTTTGATCCGTCGAATCGGGTGAATTGTGTGACACCTTTTGATGGTGGGCGCAAGTTACTTTACGGGACGGATAATGGTATTTGGATTTCAGATACCAAGATGTCAGCGGATGGTGCTGGTCGGGTGACTACGAAGCCTGTTCGGGTGATTAATGTGTCTTCAGTGTCTCAGATTGATGTGATTGAGGAGTATAATATGCTTCTTGCCATGTCTGAGAAGACACTTTACACTTGGCCGCTAGACTGTTTAGAGACGTCTGATCCGATTGGGAATGAGCGCCGGGCACGCAAGGTGATTGGGCACATTAATTTTTACAAGGTTGGTCTTGGGAAGGGGAAGATTTTGGTGTGTACTGCAAAGAATGGGTCATCGACGTCGACGTTGAAGGTTCTTGAGCCTGCGGATCCTACTCCTAGGGGGAAGAGGCCACCGTTGCGCAAGCTTTTACGGACTCAAGCAGAGGGGCTTGCAGTGCTTAAAGAGATGGTTGTATCGAGTGAGATTGTTTCAATTAATTTTTTGACCAACAATTTGTGTGTTGGGTGCACCAAGGGGTTTGAGATTATGAGTTTGGACACTTATATGTCAGAGTCAGTGCTTGCACTTGCGGATACTGCGCTTGATTTTGTGACTCGACGGGAGACGGTAAAGCCTATTGCGATTTACAGGTTACAGAGTGAATTTCTGTTGAATTACAGTGACTTTTCATTTTATGTGAATGCCAGTGGGTGGTTATCACGGCCCAAGTGGATTATTCATTGGGAGGGGTTGCCTCAAGGGTTTGCCATGTCGTATCCCTATATTATTGGGTTTGAGCCTAGTTTTGTTGAGATTCGGCATATGGAGACTGGGGAGATTGTACGGGTGATTACTGGAGAGAACATTAGGTTTTTACATGAGAATACGCGGGAGATTATGTATGCTTTTGAGGATGAGAATGGGTACGATGTTGTTGCATCTTTGGATTTCTGGCAGAAGGAGAAGAAGCAAGGGGGTAGTGGTGGAGTGAAGAAGAGTAGTTTAGATGAGAAGGAGGGTGAGTAAAAAATGATTGATTTATATTTATATGTTTATTTATATATATATATATATATATATATATATATAAGTTTGTGTAAGAAGAAGAAGAAGAAAAAGAAGAAGATGATGAAGAAGATGAAGATGAAGATAAAGATGATTTAATAATAATAATTTTTAAATGAATATTAAAAGTGGGATTATAATTATAATCATGAAAAAAAAAAAAATAAATAAATAAATAAAAAAAAAAAAAAAAAAAAAAAAAAAAAGGGCTTAGCTCGGAACGGAGAGTTTAATTTTTTATTTTATTTTATTTTATTTTATTTTATTTATTTGTTTATTTATTTGTTTATTTATTTGTTTATTTATTTATTTTTTTATTTATTTATTTATTTATTTTTTTCACATGGACGGCAGAGAATCGGCAAGATTAAAGAGCCGATGATCATGAGTGCGTTTTTTAGCTACGGCTGAAGGCCACCCGGGTTATTGGGGTTATTGGGGTTATTTAGGTTATTCGGGTGTTATTAGTACAATAATTTGAAAGAGGATAATGATGAAGAGAAATGATTAAGAATAAGAAAGAAAGAAAGAAAGATATATATATATATATATATATATATATAATGGGGGGTTTTAAAAGATTGTTTATTTAAATTGAAGTAGAATGATTATGATAATTATGAGAGAGAGAGAGGTAGATTTAATGAGATAATATAGTTAAGGTTAATAAGATTTAGTTAAATATTTAAAGTCTTTTTTATAATTTTAAGTTAAGATTATTATTATTATTATTAAAATATATTATTAAAATATTAATTAATTGAAGATTTGAAAATTGAATATATATATATCTATATATATATATTTATTTATACTTTATTTGATAATAATAATAATAATAATAATAATAATAATAATAATAATAATAATAATAATAATAATAATAATAATAATAATAATAAATACCAACATTTTGAAGAATATTTTGGGTCGGTCAGTCCAACAATAATATTAACAACAACAACAACAACAACAACAACAACAACAAACAACAACTAGTAAAGCTGCTTCTGGTGTAGCTGAATTTGGTAAGCCCATACAAAAAAAAAAAATGAAAAAAATGAAAAAAATAAAAAACATAAAAAAAATAAAAAAATTGCAATTGAATGTGAAAGCGGCACTTTTTATTTTATTAATTTATTAATTTATTTATTAATTTATTTATTAATTTATTAATTTATTTATTTTCCAAGGGTCCTTTTTTTTTTTTTTTTTTTTTTTTTTTATTCTTTCTCTAAATATATATATATATATATAAAACCAATTTAAAAAAAAAAAATAACTTATCATAAAATTACTTTCGTCAGGTTTTTATTTTTTATTTATTTATTTTTATATTTATTTGTTGTCTTCTACAATTTTTTGTTGTATTTGTTATTGTTGTTATTGTTGTTATTTTTTTTTTTTTTCACATTCCATCAAAAAAAAAACAAAAAAAAAAAAACACACCGACAAGCCCCTCTTTTTGTTTGGTTGCTGCTGCTGCTGCTGCTGCTGCTACTGATGCTGCTACTACTATCAAAATAAAATAAAATAAAATAAAATAAAATAAAATAATAAATAAATAAATCAATTTCAAATAGTAAATTTACTTTTAAAAGTAAGTAAATGATAATAAATTAATTATAATAATAAATTAATTATAAATTAATTAATCCCTCCCCTTTATATATATATATATATATATTTATATAAATTCTTATAACCATCCATTTTTTTTTTTATTTTTCAACCCCTTTTTTTTTTTTTTTTTTTTTTTTTTTCTTTCTTTTCCCTCTTTTCCTCTTTTCTTTTTTTTTTTTTTTTTTTTTATATAAATTTATAAATATTAATATACTTATATACTTATATACTTATATATCTATATATATATTTATATTCTTTCTCTTTCATCCCTCTCTTTTTTTTTTTTTTTTTTTTTTTTTTTTTTTTTTTTCTCATCTTCTTAATCATTCTCATCTTCTAAAACTATGCCAGTGATCCATTCTCTACCTGAGTCTCTGGTACAAGCCTTGACTTTCCAAACTCCCTCTTTAGACCGTCCCTTTGGC